CAGTTCTTTCTGCTTCTCATCCCCTTATATCAAATACATCACAAAAAAGTAATTCTTTATAGATACATTTTGGGATATACCTTTGACTGTATTGTCCTCAGATTAACGAGATGAATGTCACAAGGCAAAGATGACAGTAACGGAGAGAATTCACCTAGCAGCTGAAGGGTGGGCACGGGGATCTTTTCTGTCATTGTAAAGACAGGATGATTCGGGAAAGAGGAAGTTATGTGGCTAACGAGAGAAGGATAACTGACTGACTTCTTTTCTTCTTCCTATCAAGAAAAAACAGAAATGCTTAAGTGTTATATATATATGCAGTTTTCACAATATTAATGGAATTACCTGACAGGGTTTAAATAGAAAAGAAATATAAACAAAAACAAATATTTTAATTTTATATTTTGTAAATAACAGTCTTAGCCAACACAGAGATTACCAAGTCCATTTGTAAGCAATACAAGAAAATGAACAGTGTCCACCTAACTCATGTTTAGAAAGATCTTTTTTCCATTGCTGTAGTACTAAAAATCCTGATAACATTTTCCAAAAAACATTTTAGGACAAGGCATAACATTTTACGGAAACTCTTTCTCAACCTACCACAAAATTCTTAAATAGATGGGCTGGGATATTCACACATCTTGCACATCATCAAATGTGATCTCTTCTCCCTCAGGTTTTACCCACCATATACTCATGGTTTCATTTATACACTCAACTAGACCATAACATCTTGTGATCTGAAGCTATGCTCCATACATGTTACCCAATGACAGGATTTTTGGGGGAAAAACTCTCAAAATAAATAAGGTTTTTAAAATAACACAAGGAGTATACCTATATCATCTGTTAAATTTGGTAAATCACTACCACTGAACTGAAACTGTTAAATTATGTTATATAATAGTTAGTACATATTTACCTAGTACACAATTATTCAGTAGAATTTAAAAGTACTTTAGTCATTGCTATGGTATATACTTAAAGACAAGTGGTTCTGCATGTTCAAACATTAAACAAGTCTGCCAGGGCTGGCAATAGGCATATGGTAGATGACACACTCAATTAACTAAATCGATGACTAAGTAGAATCTTAACCAATAATGCCTAAGGTATAAGAGCACACAGAGAAAAACACTGAGAAGAGAAAATAATTTATGTAGAAAGGTTTTTTGATCAACAGTGACATGTGGAACAAATTTAATTTTGTATCTTATTTTTAAACTGTCCATTTCACTGATATCCTCTGATTTTGCATCCTTTCTGCAATACAGGGCTCAAATAAAAGGCTTGGCTACTTATCTGGCCGAAAAGATAGGATTTAGAGGAGATACGGGGCTTAAAATTCAGAATGTCAGATTAGCACTGAACAGAGGGTATTGAGCAAAGAGTGACAAGCATCTTGCCAGCAGCGAACTGTAGATGTCATTACAATTCAGACTATGGAGAAAGAAAAAAAATTAAAGGCAGTAGAGGGACAGTGCATACTGAGATACTGACACAAGGTCTAAATGACTTGTAAATAAAATATGCACCCATCCCACACTCTTTTTTTAAAAGAAAGATTAAAAAAGCATATATAATAATATTCACCAACAATACTGAAATTTAATGCATGTTGTTGAATACTGAGGGAACAGTTTCAACTGGAAACTTTAAATGTACTCCAAGATCAAAGGACTTCATAATCTAGGTCAGGATTGCTGACAAAATCACTTTTCAATAATAAAAGATAAAAGATCCCAACAGAAAAGAAGACACCTGCCGTATCAGAATCAGAAGGCATTAAGTCCATTCTAGGTCAAGTAACATTCAGAGAATGCTCTCTGGCTTTGTTCTATGCTCTTGGAGGAATCCCTGGACACTTCAGTGAATAGGTGGGATACTTCTTGATGGATTATGTATACCTTTCAAACAGTAATGTGCATATATACTCTTCCTCCCAACCACACCAGTTCCCTTGACTCTCAGTGCCCCCCTGCAACCTACCATACATAAAAATGGCTTGGGGAGCTTTAAACATAGATCCCCGAACCCTAACCCAAATCTACTTAATCAGAATTTCCAGGGGTGAGCCCTAGGAAGCCAAAGCTTAACAGCCCCCAGAGTGAATCTCAAATCTCGGTCAGTCTGACACAGCTCTGTGGACACGTGCTGGGAACCATCACCCCAGACATCCTCCCAACCTTGTAGAAGAAACCGCTGCCTTTGCAATCAAATGTCTGAGTCTCATCCTTTAACTAGTTTTGGATTAAGAAAATGATTCAGACTCAGAAACATGTTAATGCTAAGTCTCGTCAAAGGAAACAATATCATGACTGTAAGTGCTTCGAGAATTCAAGAACTGTGCCATTTACTGTCCTAAGCAGGATAAGGGAGAGAAGTTTAGGGAAGATTTGTGGTTCAGAGCTATAAAAGCACCACGAACAAATAACGCTGCTGGAAGCTGGCCAGGCAGGGTGGGACAAAATCTCACAGAAGGTTCCATGATTCATGCACTTTCTTAACATGTTTATAGCAACGAGGGGCTCGACAAGATATTTAGCTGGTGAATTATCACCTTTTGATTAATCTCCTGGAAAGGTAATCTTTTAACTGTAACCTTTATGATAAACCCAAAGCTTATAACACATGTTTGCTATAGGAAATTTTAAGCTGTAAATGAATTCTCCAGCCTTGCAGTACTAATATACTACTCTAAACATTATTTGGTTCCTTGTGGGTTGGAAGGCTTCAAGCTGTTCAGATCTAGCTTTCTCCTTGCATTCTGTATGAGATTATAAAGAGTTTATAGCACATTCTGATCCAAACCACAAGAAGTTGAGATCTTCATTGGGTTCCAGCCCTTATTTTATAAATCAGAACTTCCTGCTAGGCTCCATGGTGTCCTTCATGAAGCCCATTTAAGTTATCTGATCCCTAAACATCAAAGGTTTCCATCCATCTACAGCAAAACTTGCTAAATAAATTATCTAAGACAATAAGAGATGATATTTTGAGTCACTTTGGCTTATTCAGTATGACCTGATACATGGTGAGAACTTGATAAATGTTTTTTTAAACTTAATCTATCAACAAGTAAATGTAATATAAATAAAGGAGAGAAAAATACAGTAGGAGAAAGGATGTGGTAAAAAGAGACAGAAGAAATAATTGATGAAAATTAATGAATCATAAGATTTAGAAATATATCTCATTTAGCGCAGAGGTGAAGCCTGGTGATCTGTGAGCTAAATCTGCCTACACATAGGTTTTGATAGGTCTGCATGGTATTAAAAAGTTGTCTGTTTTTTGGCCAACTCTCAAAAAAGAAAAAAAATCCAGGAGATCTCACAGTGAAATTGTCAACAACAACAAAAAAACTCCCTAAAACAGGTAACTTTTTTTTTTTTAAACCCAAAACACTGGAAACCCAAGTCACCCTGGGCCCCCATATTCCCTCAAGCGCAGCTGAGTTGTAGCTCCTTGGTGGGATGTGTCCTCACTCATCACAGACCTGGGGTCACCTCACTTACGCGTTTGCCCTTAAACCTGACCAACCTCCCTCATGCCATCACTTTTCTGAGTCCTGTCAGCATTTGAGCTTTTCATCTGATCTCTCCTAGCTCCTTTTCCTGACATGTAAAGAACTGGTATCCACAGGTAAAATGACACAACTGTAATACCTGAACACTTCCCAGCACTTCTAATTCCTGGTTCAATGCCCTCTACCTATAGCAGTCTTCAGCAGGAAGGGATAGGGAGTAAGTGTCAAAGAAACAAAACCTAAAGGGTCAATGCCAAAGAGACAATTCCCACTTTCCACTTCCGTTGGTCATTACACATGGATGATAGTCCACCACACATAGCTACAGTAACCCACTGGGCATCTGCACATCTCACAGCAATTATCATTCCAGTCCTTGTTCTCACTGCCTCTCTGCAGAACACTCACGAACAGGATTCGGTTCCACTTAGTCACCCAGATAACTCCTCCCAGAGGCTCTGGCAGGCTGAAGACTTTCTACTAAAATGCCTTCCTGTACAGAGACTGTCTCCTCACCATGGTTCCTACCATCGACATCTTAAACATGAGAGTCTGAGTTGAAAATAAAAACACTTTCTGCAAAGTTTAAGTTATAGGAGATGGAACATTCCTTAATCAAATGCCTTTTTAATCAATTGCACTAGAAATTAAAATGTATTTTCTCTTCTCTAGTTCATTTTTTATTTAAAAGAAACTATTGATTTAAGTCCAAGAATCTATAGTTGAGCAAAAAGAAAAATTTAACCAACATAGGATTATACAAACACTGGATCAAATTTCAATCAATTACTATCCAAGGAGTTTTGAATGGGAATAAACAAATTATTTCACTTCTAAGTGAAAGCTTTATAGATCTGACATGAAAATGCTTATTGCCATAGTTAATAGAAGCTTTGCAAATTAGTGTCTATATAGAGAGAAAAAAAAATCATAAAAGCCAGAGACATTTTCGGGAGGAGAAAAAGACAGTAGCTGCCAGCACTCAGACAATGATTTTCCTGTGCAGTTTTAGTCCTCAAATTAAGCTATCTTGTCAGTAATTGATTTAAACCATGAGTCCCAAGAACTGGTTTAAATCTTGACATCTAAAAATGGATATTAAAATCTTTTTTCCTAAAAGATTCTAGATACTGAAAGAATTCTTGGCTTTAATGAGCTGTTGCCATTTCATTCAATCAACCAGTGTTTTATTTATAGAATAGCTACCATAGGCAAGGAGCCCTGTGGGGTACATAAAAATGAAGCAGACAAGTCCCTGGAATGGAGCAGGGGAAGAGAACATGCCGAGTATGACAAGGCAGTAAGCAGGGGCTGGGATAAATGCAGTGGCACCATGCGCTATTACAGCTCACTCATTTATGCATTTGTGCATTCATTCATGCAACACATATCGGGTGCTTCCTCTACCAGGAACAATTCTAGAAGCAGAGGAACATGGCCCCCACTCTCATGAAGTTATGGTCCAAAAGAGGAGAGAGACAATGATCAAATATAATCACATCTATGCACGGAGGACAGATGCGCAATTCTGAGGAGGCACTGAGGATGGTGATCTGGCCTGGTCAAGAAAAAGCAGTTGACCAAGGCAGCTTTGGCCTGAACTATTATGAAGAGTTCCCTGGGCACAGAATGAAACCACAAATGCAAAGGTGCTGTGGGCCCCAGGTGCGTAGGGAGCACTTGGGACTGAAAGAAAACTAGTGGGCCTAGAGCAGAAATAACACGAGTCATGCTGGATGAAGCTGGGGGACAGGCAGGGCCCAGATCATGAGGGGCTCTTCAGGCCATGGGAAGGATTTTGGCTTTTATTAGGAGAGCAATGAGAAGACACCTGAGGGTTAAGAAGGGAGCAGTGAGGTCAGATTGAATTTTGAAAAGATGAATCACTTTGCTTACTTGATTTGAGAACAAATATGGCAGGAAAAGAAGAGCAGAATGATTCAGGAAACACATGATGTTTGTTTAGATAATGGTGGTCAAAATAAGCGAGTTTATAGATTTGAAATATTTAGGCAATAAGATAGTCAACACTGGTGATCATTGTTTTAAGAAAGGGGCAGGCAAAGGAGAAGTATCAATGAGAGATGACTGCTATGTATGTGGCACTGGATGGAAGGTGGTACTAGTCCCCGAGAGAGCAAACACTAGAAAAGAGCAGGTCTGGGGGGAAGGGAAGAGAGATCATGAGAGTGATCATGGATATGTCGGGTCTGAATAGCAGGATGCAGCTAGGTAGATGGGTCTGCAGGTAAGAGGTGAAATATATGTGTGGGTTTCATCTGCGTAGAGGTGGTCACCAAAGCCACAGGAGTAGGAGAGATTGCAGAGGGAGAACATATAAGACGAGAAAAGGAGAAGGCGTGGGGCCAACCCTTGAGGACTCTGACATTTAATGGCTTAATAACCATCAGAGAGATAAAAAACCACTTGAGAGCTAGGAGGAAAACCAGATGAGCATGGCACCACGGAAGCCCTGGCTAGACTGTCTTCTAAGAAGTGACATGGTCAGTGTCGAATGCTGCTGCAAGGTGAAGTAAGATGGTGGATCTCGTGACACTGGCAAGGGTGTGTGTGTGGTGGGGGAAGCTAAAGCAAATCCAAAATGAGTTGAGTGTGACACGGAAGCAATGAAATAAACCCATCTTCCAAAGCGGCTCAACTGGGTGTGGAAGACAGGACGGGAGAGCAGGGCAAATGGACATGAGTCTGTGTGGAGGTTGTTTTTGGTATGTATGTATGTATGTATGTATGTATTTATTTATTAAAGATTTTATTTATTTTTTAGAGAGCGAGCGAGCGAGAAACAGCATGAGAGGGGAGAGGGTCAGAGGGAGAAGTAGGCTCCCCGCTGAGCCGGGAGCCTGATGTGGGACTCGATCCCAGGACCCTGGGATCATGACTCAAGCCAAAGGCAGACGCTTAACCATCTGAGCCACCCAGGCGCCCTTGGTTTTTATTTTTAATAGGAGAAAATGAAGAGTGTCTAAAAGCCTGCAGAAAGGGTTTCTTTCCTAGGGAAATGTCAGCTATGAAGGGCAGAGAGAGGGAAGGAGGATGATGATGCTGAGGAGGGCGCTGGGGTACATTGCAAGGACAAGTGGAGGTACTGGCCTGGGAGGAAAGGAAGGTAAAAATGTCTCTATTGCAACATGAGGAAGAAGGAAAGGGTGGGAGGAGATGGTTGATACCTAGAACAGAGAGCCCTGTCAGATGTGAAGTCGATGGTGAGGCCACCAGCTAAAAAGAGTAGAAAAGATCTGAAATGGATCAGTGAAGAAAGAAGGAGAGCAGAGTGAGAAAAAAAAGGCTGTGTACAGATCATCTGAGGTGGGAAATCAGTAAAGCACGGAGGACTGTGATGATGACTTTTGTGTAGCCTTGAAGAGGCGTATTGTCATGTTGGTTTACATCCAACTGAGCTTTAGCTAGATTTTTTTAATGGAATGCTGAGGTTTTGTCTTGAGAAATGAAAACTGAGCAAGAAGATAGACAAGTAAATCCATTTTCAATTGAGGAGTCTAAGACTAGAATAAGCACACTAAGGTTTCCCATAAATTTTACTAATCAAACTTAATCTAAGTATGTGATTAAGTTCTATTCTTAAATTCAACTCTTATTTTCTTTCAAAATAATCTCAGAAAATCTCACCCAAACTGATTCTTTAACATTTTACATCTACATAATAAGGAAAAATAAAAAATAAGATGACCTAAATGCAAATCTGACATATGTGTAACTGAAGTTCTCTTTTTTGTCAATATAGGCTACACCTATTATAAAGATATCTCTATCCTGGGAACTGAAAATCATAAAAAAAGTGGACAGTCATAATTTCAAGTTTTGGGTGGCAAAGAACAAACAACATCAGAACGTATGAGTTATTATTTTTTTCCTACCGTATTCACACTTCTTTTTTCCAGTAGTAGTCGAAATAAATTAGCTGTAACCTTGTTATCATGGACACCTTGCTCAAGGCCGCGATTATCATCTTGCATGAGTCTTCCATCCATGATAACTTCAATCTGACCTAACAAACAAACAAACAAACTGGCCAGAGTTATTTAATACAAACATCCAGTGACAATCACATAAGTTTAGGCACGGTCCTGATTTAAGCCAAGGAGACAGATCCATATAGCCCAAAGTACCAAGGGCTTTCTCAAAACAGCTAGGATAAATGCAAAAAACAGGACTTTATTTCCGTTCTTCTTCATAAATGTCTGGTAAAATTTGGTAAGAAATTTAAAATGAGACAGATCAAAACTTAAGTGAAATTTAAAAAGAATTAATCTGAAGAGTAAATTATGTCCTCTAAAATTTTTAGTGGTAGCACCTGGAATTTAAAAACATTTACGAGGTTCATTAGGAAACATACATCACACCTGGAGTAACAAGGCAAATACAGATGTGTAGAATCTAAAAAGGATTTGAAAGACTAAGCGTTTTGGTTACTTGGTATCTGGTGATTCTCTGAAGAAACCCCAGGATTTGGAGACACCAAGCACGTACCCCCTTCCCTCCCTGGTATTAAGTTAGTGGCATCAACTATCCTCTCTCCTCTAGTTCAAGAAGAGGTCATATTTGGTTCCTTCATTGGCTGTGCAGTAATTCCACACCTCCTCTAGGTTAAGTTGTAAGCTAAGAATTAGGCTATGAGACTACAAACCAAAAAACCCTATCCAAAACAAAGCAAAAAACCACCCAGAGCCACAGTCATATATTTACACTAAAAAAAACCCTAGTCATACATAAAAAATATATGCATATTCATCCATCCACTCATTCACATTTGTTACAGTACTAAATGATCTTTTGGCATAAAAGAGCAATACATAAAATATTTTAATAACTATTATTTTTACACAGTCAATCCAACTCTGTTTAGTTCTTTCTTCTCAATTTAGGTACCCAGTACATAAAACTGCCAGTGATGGTCAGAATTTTCGTTGTTACTACCTCCATATTTATTTTAGAACACAACTGTCTAGAATGTGCTCCTCAGGCACTGGGACGAATTGGCCATCTAGAGCTTGATCATGTCACACCCAAATGAGTACATCAATCTCTTGGCAGTTTCTCTCTTCTCCCTGTCTCCAAATGTTAGCCCTCATAATATGTGACACTCAGTAAATCTCCTGGGCTGTACTCAAATTGTTCTTCTGTTTGTAGGCACTGAAATGCTAGGGTGCTTGGCTGTCTGAAGCAGGGCACCTGGGCCAGGTGTGACTCTTGAGCCCCCCATTTTTAAACGTTGCCTTAAATTCTCAAAGCTGGGTCCTTAAATAGGGAACTAGACATTAGGACTGGAGCAATCATGGAGTAGACAGTTATGTCACTTCCCTTGACAAAGGCAAGCTGAGAAATAAAGCTCCTCTGTCCCTAAACCACATTAGGAATTTTATGTGAAGTTGTCCAATCTATAATAGTTGACTTAATTTTTTAAAAATCAAAACATATGGAGTGCCTGGGTGGCTCAGTCATTAAGCGGCTGCCTTCAGCTCAGGTCATGGTCCAGGGGTCCCGGGATCGAGCCCCATATTGTGCTCCCTGCTCCCTGGAAGCCTGCTTCTCCCTCTCCCACTCCCCCTGCTTATGTTCCCTCTCTCGCTGTCTCTTTCTCTGTCAAATAAATGAATAAAATCTCCAAAAAAAATAAAAATAAAAACATAAAAAATTCCAGACTCCTGGGCTCTTCAGAAGCAGAAAAATTTGGCAACCCTGGGCCCCTTTCCCCATGGTGACAACAACCTGGCGCTGAGCAGCGGCTGCCCCACCGTTCACTGGGAATGGTGTGCCCCAGTTTGCCGAAGCCCCACCACTCCCCGCTGCATCCCTGATGTGAGGCCATTATTATTTTTCTAACAGCGTTAATGTCTTTATGGCATCATCTCATGAGTCTGTGTAATGAAAGCCACAAAAGAAGATGAGTAGTATGCTTTTTTGTGTGGGTGGACATATGGAATGTATGTATATGCCCAATTAAAAAAGTGGGTTTGGGGCAAAGGGTACGTCAGGTACCTGCACACCTTTATTATCTGCCTGGCTCCTTAAGACATTTGTCTTAGCAACTCTTAATATGTAAGAAAGAAGAGCACTTTGACTACATATAAATGATAATGAAAAAATATATATTATAAAGGACATACGCCTCTCCATAGAAGGTTTTATAAAAATTAATCTGTGTTTACGATTTATTTTCTCTTTCCATCTTGTTCTATCTTTTGGAATCCTTAAAGTTGTGTCTGTCACCTCTTTATCTGCCTAGCTGTATCATTGCAACTCCCTTTCTTCTTTCGGGTAGAGGTGCCCTAGAACGATACGATTCAGAGAAGGACCTAGGTTTGAACTGTTACGTCCCGCCTTTGCGAACTTAGGCAACTCTGGGAATTTCTAACTTTTACCCCAGCTCCCTCTCCTCTTTGGCTTCTGGGAGAGTTTCCACAGCCATTCCATTATGACAACGACAGAGGCTTGTGCAAACAATGAGCTATCAGGAGAGAAAAATTATCTTTAAGAAGCCATGGTTTCATGGAGCTTTAGGTCCCTCATTCTTCATCAGAAGATTGAAGAAATACATTATTTTATGTTATTCTCACAAAACCAAAATTAACTAATAGCTGGTGTCTGAAGATGATAATTAATAATATGACCAACAGAAAAATTATACATTTGGAACTGAAACTTGTAAGAGCAAAAAAGAATCCAAACAACACGCACCACTTTTCAAACTTGAAACCCCTAAAGACTGAGCTGAGAGTAATGTCAAGCGATGCTTGGTGTCCTGTATATAGGCCATTGTGGTCATCGGATAGACATTTGCTTGAAGAGGCAATTTGCTCATCGTCATTCTGGGCTGAATCTATAAGACCAAACAGTTCACTTTAAAAAAAAGAAATCAAGGGATATTTACAGATGTACTTTAAAAAATTAGTACTGACTACAGATGACGTTTCTTCCAAAAAGAAAAAGGTATAGCTTCCTTTCTTGTTCAAAGGAAGAGCTAATTTAGGAATTAAAACATTCTTTCAAACAATATGAAAAAAAAAAAAATAAGGAGGATCTTAGAAAACTTTTAGGTGAGAAAGGTAGAACTTATCCAGGTTCTTAAAATAGGCATTCCTATTTAAATTCAGAATAAAAATCCTTAACAAAAGTCTTCTAGCTTTCCAATATTTGCATAAAACAAATTATAAAGGTATCAAGTATTCATTTCTCATCTAAATCTAACATACTGCTTTTGTAATGAATGCTAAGCATAATAGCTCTCTATCCCCTTTCAAAAAATCTCTCTTATAATTCTTGAATCAGTTTTAATAAATACCACAGATCCCCTTATCAAATCCTCTAACATATTACATTAAAATAATCAAATTAATATTTATATTTAAAAACTCTTCAGTGCTTATTCTTCCTGTTTAGTGTCAATGTAGGTAGTTCCATATTTTAACTTTTCTTGGTCTGGTATGTGAATGCATGAAATACATTATTTTATTTTTTGACCGAAAATTCACTAAGCTGGTTGGGGCTGAGGAGAGTCCCTCAAACCTCAGGAGGAAACATCAAACAGAGACTTTGTTACGAGGTATCTTATTCACACCACATAAAAATGACATCTCTCCTGTTCAGCTCATGCAAGTCTGACATGACACTCAAGAAGAAAAGGAGTACAAAGTTAATGTAATAGTATTGAGTGCCCATTATAACGAGACAAAGTACGGGCATTCGCAAATATGATCTTTAATCTTTACAACAACCCTGTAGTGCATCCTTTAACTTACTGGTTGTACTGAATAGTGTCCCCCAAATTCATGGTCATCCATAACCTGTGAATGTGATTTTGTTCTGAAATAGGATCTCTACAGACATAAGGTATAGTGGATTAGGGTGGGCTCTAATCCAAGGGCTGGTGTCCTTCTAAGCGGGAAACATGGACACGAAAGGACACACACGGCAACACAAGGAGAATACGACAGGGACTCTGGGACAGCAGAGGCAGACAGTGGAGTGATGGGTCTACAAGCCCATCAGAAGCCCCAACAGGCAAGGAAGAGTATTTCTCTAGAGCCTCTGGAGGGAGTGTGGCCCTGAAGACATCTTGATTTGGGACTTCTGGTGTCCAGAACTATGACAGAATAAATTCTTGTTGTTCTAAGCCACCCATTTTGTGGTAATTTGTATCACAGGCCCAGGAAATTATGAACCTGAAGAAAAAACTGCAAAATGTTAAAATAAAAAAAAAGAAAGAAAGAAAGAAAGAAAAAAGGAGAGTTTCAAAGAATTTTCCATTTCTCCTTTCCAATCTGGATCTTCCCAATCAAATTAACTTGTATACTCACTGAAAAGGACATTCACACTGTCATGACTATAGGGCTGCCACCCTCACTCCCTACCTGTTGGTCTAGATTTCTAGTTTTGCTCAAGGACTACTCTTTCCAAGGCTTAAAAAATGGCCTATTTTAGAAGCAGAAATATTTAGGTCATAAATTTAGAAATTTAGAAGTTTAGAAATAATATTTTCCCATTTATTCAAATGCTCGATCCTTGAAAAGAAAATTCACATGTTTATTCACTTTTACTAAGTTTTTTTCATTCATGTATACACCCACACATACAAATAATTGCTTTTGTAAGATTTTAAGAAAAGAGTTTCTTTTGTACACAAGGAAAATGAATCACCATAAAGTCAGGGCTTCATTTGAAAACCAAACAGCTGTGGTAGAATTAACATGTAAATTCAAAGTGTATAATGCAATTTTTATGCTTTGGAAAAGGTTTAAATTTAACCTTTGCAGGAAATTGTAGAAGAGAAAATTATCACAACCCCTTCCACTCATCCCAGTTGAAAATCAGACAAAGTAAAAGCATTTGTTGTGAAATTATTTCTATTCATAGCCAGAAATTTCTAAAATGCTAATGTCTCAAAAACATGCTAATGTTTTTAGTGGTAGTATTTCAAAGCTATGTTGTCACACACATATACTCTGAATATAGAAATTTATGTAACAATCAAAAGAGCCCTATTAAATTAGAGAGCTAACAATCTGAAAAAGATTGAGTCAATTTTCTCATTACTATTTCAAACTATTTTGTGAACATTTTGATTAAATACATACCTGCCCACATTTCTATATATGTGCTTGTATTTCTTTGTCTATGTATATGTACACAAGTGTGTGCATAAAGGTAAATACACATACATTATTGATAAAAAGAGGGAAAGAGCTTTCCTGAAATTTAAAAGAGCCCATTATTACATTATACATTTAAAAGTATATATGTAATAAATTAAATACACACATACCATTTCTTTATGAGGGGAAAAATACATACTCCACCAATCCCTAATTATGTTTCCTTTCTATTAAACAAATTCAGATATATTTTGGTGTCAAGGCATTTAACATGCAAATGGTCACCAAATCTGCCTTTGAAAAAACTACCTCCGTAAATCAGATGCTCTACAAACCAATCTCTCAAATATCTGTTCTAACTTTGGACATCTGGTTGAATATAGAACCTATAAGTACCTGTTAAAATTCAGTTTTCCTTTAGAAATAATTTGTAAACTTAAGCATATTTTTCAAAGGATCCAAAATTAACTGGCCCACTACCATATATAAAAGTTACACACTAACACAGCTATTACTTAGACATTTTAAGGGAAAATTACCTGATATCCATTCAGGTCAGTATAGAATTTGTTTTGACTGTTTATGCTAGAAGAAATTCTCATTGCAATCTCACGGTTATGTTCTTTTCGGATGTCCACGATATTGGACACTTCCACAGACTGTCCGTCTATTCCTAAATTTAAAAGAATATATATGTTAATAGAAATTGATTGCTCCACTTTTCTTATACTGTACAGAACTTCCAGAGTGACATACATTTTCCCGTTTTCTATTCCTATCTTCACCATTTTTCATGCTAACTGTGCCACCGTTCACCTTTTTCTTTCTTTTCTTTCTTTCTTTTTTTTTTTTTTACACTGTCAGACAGTAGAAAACATTTACTCCGGAGAACATGTAACTCAACAGAAGGATGAAGAGCTTGGGATGAGATAAACGCAGATGAAATATAACATGCAAATGATTCTCCAATGAGTTCTGGAGGGAAAAGAGAACTTTAAATGAGAAAAGGTTAGCCCCACTCCAGGCCAGGCCGCCTGTCACGTGTACGGCCATTCTCCAACAGAGCCATGTGAGCTTATTTCTTCACGGCTCGCCTTCCGTGCTGGAAATCTGAAGCAGTGAGATCTACACTCTGTTGGTTCAAGAGACAGTCTATTACTGCCCATGATCTATAATCTAGGAAAAGAGACACGAGATCCAATGAGATGCTTTATGGCTAAAATGGATATTATCATATTAGTATTTGTGGAGTATAATCTGGACAGCTCCCCAGAAGTTAAATCAATTTTTTTTTAAGATTTTATTTATTTATTTGACAGAGAGAGACAGCGAGAGAGGGAACACAAGCAGGGGGAGTGGGAGAGGGAGAAGCAGGCTTCCCGCCGAGCAGGGAGTCCGATGCGGGGCTCGATCGCAGGACCCTGGGATCATGACCTGAGCGGAAGGCAGCCGCTTAACCGACTGAGCCACCCAGGTGCCCCAAGTTAAATCAATTTTAATTGAGTTTGGTATCTCTTAGGACCCCTTGTTATGGAGTGATTCATTTTGCCCTTTGCTATATGAAGCAGAGGACAGCTTGAAGAAGTCCCAGATGTATCAAACATTTATTTTTTTGGATAAGCCTAAACTTTTCACTAATTTCTATCTGTCATGCCACCCTAACTATATCTTCTGGTCCTGAGTGAAGCCTTGGGTCTATTTCCGAGACGGAGAGGGGAGTTATGGAGTTATCCAACACTCCTAATACAGACTGAGTATGTAGAAGAGATACTGGATCTCCTACAAAAGAGCAATCAGGAAAGCAAGCAATCAAAAGAAGAAAGACCGGCCCTATCCTATTTCATACGGCAGAAGGTTTTTAAGGTTCTAAGAGCCCTGGACACGTACCTGCAGTTTTCAGTCGTTACCCACCAGGCCTCACACACACTCTGTCACAGCGTGCTGATCACCAGGACACTCTTTAGACAAAGAAGGCTATGTAAAGAGAAATGGGGAGTGGGAGAAGGGAGTAAGGAGGACTTTTTCTGGAAGCCAAGAAGAATCCCCAGGGCTTAGAGAAGATGAAAGCAAACAGTTAAAGGAAGGAAGTTTGAATCGGTGGGACTGGTGGAAAATAATGAAAATGCAGCTAGCTGAGGCACTATAGGTTTATGTGAGAAGTACACCGGAAATTGTAAGACATCAATAGTAATATGCTGACAATACTAAATGGGCAGAAGCCTCCATCAACAGATTTTTCAGAATTCTCACAGAAGTTCTTTTCTGGGAGATGTTACGCCTCCAACTCGACAACCTCAGTCAGAGATGACTTCAGTTTCTTACTATGTTCATAAAGCTGTGATGAGCAGTATGACCTCATGTGTGGGGGAAGAAGGTCCTTTTCTTTTCCCTCCCACTTTATGGCCAGTCTGAACCACTAACCAGTAAAATATACATATAACTTTCCTTCTGACAATTACCAGATAACTGACCCAAATAGCTTCACTACTACTGGGAAGTTAAAAGAAAACAAAAATCACATCCACTGATGCCAGAACAACGGTGTTTTCTTTGACTAGGAAATGTATTACTTTCGATGCAAACTTTCCTTTCAGTAGGTTTATGTCAACCCCAATATCTTTCAAAGCCAATGAAATGTATATGGAATTCTAACAGACAAGCTTCCACAAATGAACCAAAGATGCCAAAAAACACAAAATACAGCATAGGGATGAAGTCCCCCATGAAGCATTCAGGCGAACACCTCATCTACTGGAGGCATTCGTGGCTGTTTGGCACCACGTCCGTTTTCTCCTCTCTAGACTGGATATTCTCCCAGGGGGTCAATAGAGTACATGAAATGAAATAAAGTCTTTACAAAGGAGAGTGTCATTAATTTCAAGTCACGTATCTCTGGAAAACATTTACAAAAAACATGCTTCAAGAAAAAATAAATAATTTCACATTACCTCCGGCAATAATAAATTATTTCTGTTGAGAAAATGATCTTTCTTGAGCTCAGTATTATGCTCAGATCCGGTTGTGGCAACAAATGCTTAAGTCTCCTTTAAAAGGAGCCTCGATGTCCATTCACAGTTCAGCAAGACATCTGTGCCAGGACAGGCTTTTAAAGTAAGATCAAACCTAATACTCTTATTACGAACAAACCAAATAAATCTTGTAATGGTAATCAAAGCAAGGAGGTATCCCTGAGTCATCAACGGTAATTTATTACTTTTTAAAGAAGAATCTATGTGAGGGGGATAAAGGACTGCTACCTTTTCCTACTCTAGGTCAAGAATTCCCTAAAGTGTGCCATTCCCAAAGAAGCTCATGGGATTGAGGGGAGAACTCCCTGGGAAGCATGGGTATGAACCGATCGGTCTCAGTGACCTGCAGAACCTTTGCAGCAAAAGGTTCTTTTACCAAATTGGTTCCACCTGGGCATGGATGGCCAGGAATTTCTAAGCCCCTCTGGTTTTTCTTCAGTCCTGGGAAAGAAAACAGCTCCTACCTAACAAGCGTAGTCCAAAGAGTTATGTCATTGATAAAGACAGAGAATTAAGAACTCCCTTGCTGCTAACACCTCACCCTCTGTCCCCAGAAAGAGAGAATGGAGATTATTTATCTTTATTAACAGAGGCAATGCAAGGTAAAAACAGAGCAAGTCCACAGGTGGAAAGCCATCATAGAGAAGCGGAAAGAGTCTTGCAGAACTCTGAAGTTTTGTTTTTTTTTTTTTTTCTCCTCCCTGGAGCCTGTTAGCTCCTTACAGATTGTCTTACACACCATCTCTGCATTCCAGTTTTTAACAATAATTTGGGGATGTAGTACGTGCTGAATCACCATTAAAGAGAATGAGTTAAGATGTGACAGGCTGTCCTTCATGATGCAGAAGTCAGCTGACATGGGAGGAAAGCAAACTAGGCCATGGACAGAGTTTAAATAGAAAGAAGGGAATAAGTACTTAGATTTTGAGCAAACACATGCATGTTAGAATGTAAGCTCCTCAAGCACTGGGACCATGTCTTATTTATCTTTATGCTCCCAGCACATAATAGGCAGATAGTGTTTGCTGAGTAACGGGCAGCAGCTACATGGAAGAATCAGCCAACAATTACTGAGTCCCCGCTATGTACCATATGCCCCGCCATATGCTTTACATACAGTAACTCATTCAATCCTGACCCTAAGCCTAGGAGAACATACCTTGCCCCAGATCACAAGGCTGACAGAACCAGCACTAAGCCTCTCGGCCATCATGTCTCACTGGCAAATTGACCACTAGAGAATGTTAAAGTTACTTTGGGACCATGGATTAGAGAAGCTTTGCAGTGACTCTAAGTAGAAAGGAGACCTCCAGGTTATTTTTTAAGAAAGGGAGAGGGTACTGATCTGGGATGATATGCTGCAAGTGCTACCTAAAGGAGACAAATACATTATCAGTAAAATAAAATAAAAATAATAAAAAATAATTATGGGACAGGCTTGCCAGAATACAAAACTTCTTCAAAACAATCCGAAATCTTTTCTTTAAAAATGTCACGGTCACTTTAGAAGCCAATAAAGTAATATATACTAATTAAAGACACTGTGATCTCACGTATTTACCTAAGATGAACACTAATCACAAGCACAAGCATGTTCACTGTGCACTGGTGCCAAGGGTAGAAACATGGGGAAACAGGCTAGATGCCCACCAACAGACAAATGAATAATAAAACCAGTACATCCACGTTTTGGACTGCTCTGTAGCAAATGAATGAGGTAGCTCTCTGCCCCGGCAAAGAAAGATATCTGATGCAAGAGGTGAATGGAGCATTTGCACAGTGTGATGAACTTTTTGCTAAAACCAAACACAATACTATACCTTTCTGCAGATATGCATGCAAGAGAGGTGTGTGTGAGAGAGAGAGAGGAGATAGAGAGAGAGAATGCAAGTGATCCGAGGGTGCACACAGGTATCTGATTACCTCTCTTGAGTAGTGGATAGGGACCACGCACAGATTCTAGAGGGATTTTACATTATATACATATACTATAATGTGTGACACTTTTGTCAAAAGAGTATACATATATATTATTTGTATACATAAAAATTATTATCTTTTTTATTCTATTTTTTTTTAGATTTTATTTATTTGACAGAGAAAGACACAGCAAGAGAAGGAACACAAGCAGGCAGAGTGGGAGAGGGAGAAGCAGGCTTCCCGCTGAGCAGGGAGCACGATACGGGGCTTGATCCCAGGACCCCGGGACCATGACCTGAGCCGAAGGCAGACGCTTAACAACTGAGCCACCCAGGTGCCCCCGAACTTACCCAACTTAACCAGGAGTTGACGCTTAGGGTTATTAACTAATACACACTGCTTCACTCAACACATAAACGACAATTCTCGCAACAATGATAAATTTAGTAGGACAATATGGAGATGATGTTTCTAAAAAAGCAAATATTATCATTTTTAAAAACTGTACTCATATCTGAAAGTACCAAGAATAAAAATGGTAATAACTCCCATAACTAGATGACCTTTTTGTCCATGTTGACTTATTCAACTTGCCTATCCATTGTAAGATCTAATTTATCCTCTGAGGTACTTGCTGATTTCCAGGTCTGTAAATGTTCATATTGACTATTTCTCCACAAGTGAAAATTTTAACATCTGCTTTCATGAATATAAATTTGAGTAA